TTGCTCAATACTTAGGCTTTTTTATTTATCAGGAATTCTCATAAAACTCTCAGCACTTCCTTTGCAATGTTTAGTCTATAGCAGTAGGAATCCATTTTACATAACATCTAAAACAATTCAAAGCCCACACTGTGGCACAGACCAGTAACATCAGCACACTGGGAGACCCAGGCAGGAGGAAAGTTTGAGCACAGCCTGGGCAACTTATCCAAACGAAAAATAAAAAGGGAGCTGGTTATGTAGCTCAGTACAAAACCCCTGGGTCCAATCCCCAGGCAAAAAATAAAATAAAATATTAAACAATTCAAGTGCATTCATTTTTGTTTTGGTTTGGTTTTTTGTTTGGGTTTGGGTTTGTTTGTTTGAAACAGGGTCTCACTGTGCAGTTCAAGCTGGCCTTGAACTCATTATGTAGCTCAGGCTGGCCTCAAACTCGCAGTGGTCTTCCTGCCTCAGACTCCTGAGTGCTGGGATGATAGGCGTGAACCAGCCTCAAGTGCATTTTTAAATGGACAGATATTTCATTAAATTTGGCCTACCCATACTATTTGTTTATTCAGTATAGTACAACATCCGTTTCTTTTCTTTTTTGTTTTTGTTGTTGTTTTCTTGTGTCTTGGTTTGCTTTTCTCAAGAAAAGGGTTTGTTGTAGTTCAGGCTGGACTTCACCTCATTATGTAAATCAGATTGACTTTGAGCTCAGAAAGATCTTCCTGCCTCAGCCTCCAGAGTGCTGGGATTATAGATGTGTTTCCAGGCTTTGGCTGAATATGTTTATTTCTAATGAATGGTATCAGCAAAAAATTTAAAACTTTTTAGTTTTAGTTTAGGCAAACTGTACTGGTGTGCCAAGGCATTCATGACCCTCTCCCTAACACTGTATATTTGGATATTCAGTAGAGAAAAGCAGAATATAATAAAGCCATGCCAAGTACAGTAACAAGTCTTCCAATTCCTCTTACCTCCAGTACAACAGGAAATTAAGACTTTTGCTGACCGGCAGCTAGTTCAGACCAGATTCAGACAGTCCACCTAGCTGTACACTCGGTGAGATGGCTGGGCTCTGACTGGAGTGAGCTCTTGCTGACCTTGGATTAAGTGTGTCATTTATCAGTATAAACAGCATTTCAGTTTAAAATAAGAACCTTTATGTGGGGCCTACACAAATCAGATCGTGAACTAGGTGATCCTCCTGTCTCAGTTCCCTCAGTAGGTGGGACTACATGCACATGCCACCACGCCTGGCCTCAAATCCATTTTCTTTTTGCTCAGGAAGTAAATTTTATAAATGAAAAACCCCCATCAGTTTTTCTCTTAATGGCCTTGTGTGACATTACTATGCTTCAATTGTGTTCAGTACTGCTCATAAGTCCCAAATGCATATTGCCATGAAAAACAAACAAGCACCCACTGGTGAATTCAGTCCTGTATGCATCATTTTGAATATGCTGCCAGAGAGGGCCACTTCAGGAGGACACTTCCTGTGTTCTGGAGAGGATTTAAAACATTAGGCCTTCTATGGAACTTCTGAATGTGTGTCAGGTTTTAAATGTCAACAGGGAAATTTCAAAAAGATTAGGAGAAGTCAGCACCGAAGCTAGTTGACCATTAATAATTAGTGAACCAATTAATAGGTCTATGTTTACCCAGTCAGATTCAGTTGGAAAGCTGGAAGGAAACCGGTTTTAACTCCCATTACAACCTCTATCATGACAACATCACTGTTCAGAAAAGTAGCTGATGCCAGCATTAAATGGGCATGTCACATTTGAAACTGTTTAAAACATTTCAAATTGTTCTTTCTTTTCTATCTTCACAGTTCATTCATGATATAGACTCAGATTATTTCCTTAAGGAAAACAAGGGGAGGTGTGGTAATGAATGCTGAGAACTTTCTATGGGACAGACACAACATGAATTTTCTTATTCCTTCCTCATAGCCACCTCTCAAGATAGAAGAAACAGAAGCTTTGAAAAATGAAGCAACCTTTCGAAGGTCACAGAGCAAGTAAAGAGGTACAGCCAGGGTTCAAATTCAGAAGTGAATTATTATCATGTTCTATAGCACTGAATGGCTGTCATTTCCTTAACCTGAACAAAAAAATCAAATGATAACAAAGAAGATGACCTGGGTCATAGCTAAGCTCTCTAAGGATTAAAATGTTATGATAATATAATCTTAGAGCAGAACAAGCTAGGTAAAATAATAATTTTGAGTTCAAAATGTTTAGTACCTCAAATAGTGGTATCAACCTTTTAAAAATTCTAGGGAAGCCCATTTGTAAAACAGAATACAAAGTAGTTACAGCTGGGCATGGTGGCAACATCTTGGACAGCACAGGTCTTCAACTAACTACTGTTTACAAAAACCAAAGTTAACACATGAAATGCAGCCAGGGCAATGTGGTCAGAAAGTCCAGACGCTAGTAAATACTACGGGAAAAATAACCTTTTTTCTTCAAGGAAATTTCAAGGAAAGTTGGAGATTAAGAGACTTGGAACTAAGGTTATAGCTCAGCTGCAGTGCCTATTTAATGTGTATAAAGCCTTGGGTTCAAATCTCAGCATCAAGCTGGGCATGGTGGCACAGGCCTGTAATCCCAGCCCTCAGGAAGCTGAGGCAAGAGGATTGGTGAGAGTTACACGCCAGCATGGGCTACACAGGAAGAACCTGTCTCAAAAACCAAAAAAAAAGTACTTACAAGTAAAAAAAAAAAAAAAAGGTAAAAAATAAATATAACATTTAGCGTTAACAGAGATTCCTGTTGCAAAGAGTCAGTTCTGTCCCCACACGATGCTTTTTAAAAATTGTGCTCCCAGTGTGGCGACTCTGCTCGGTGGGTAACTGATGCCTGAGTAAACACTAGAAAATGCAAAGGGTCCACAGTCAGACAGGTTTGGGAGATACTGGATCTAACCTTCCACCTGTTTCTTTTGCTTTGTTTCTGGTACCAGGTATCAAACTCAGGACCTTGCACTTGCAAGGTAGGCTTGCTGCCACTGAGCTTAACCCCTAGCCCATCTACTTGTTTCTTCACTGGTTGCAGGGAGGATGCTGGGCTTGGAAGCCCCACAGAGCCAGTCGTCTGAGTTTGAGTCCCAGCTTCTGCATTTCCGTGTGGCCGTGACTTACAGAGCTGTTGTGAGCACTGGGAAGAGTAAGGCATGTACCCTAGGAAAGAGTTCCAGAAGCACTAGGTACAGGTCATATGATTAGTAGTAACATTTCTCAAATTTTTATCAATCTTGTTACAAATCAAAGCAGATACTTCCAGTTCATCACTGAGGGGGAAATGATATGATGCGGTTTCCCAAACTTATTTGATGATGGAACCCGTTTTTTTTCACAGAATAGCACTCAAGACGACTGGTTAATGCCTTTACAAAGACAAATTTTAAAAGAAACCTTAGGAAACAACAGATCATCACTAAAATAAACATCTAAAAAATTGGAGTATGAGTGTGAGTGTGTGTGAGAGTGTGTGTGTGTGTGTGTGTGTGTGTGTGTGTGCCTAAGGGAGCTCTACTACTGATCTCCACCTGAGCCCTTTTTTAAAATTTTTGAGACAAGGTCTCAGTAAGTTGCCTTCAACTTGCACTTTCTGCCCTCAGGCCATGGGGCAGCTGAGACTACAGGGGTCTCCCCCCACTTGGGGTAAGAAGATGAACTTGACACAATCACAAGCCCCAGGAAGCTGAGAGTCAAGGGCAGGAAGCTTCTGCTCTGCTTTACTCCCTTCCTGTCAGCTCCCTCCTTCCTCTTCTGTGCTCACCTCAGATTGCCCAGGACGCTTTCTCCACTCTTGGCCCCACCCTTGCAGCTCCTATGCACTGAGGGTGACAAAGCCTACTCCTCTAGCCACAAATTCTCCCTATTCCTCCAGATAGTTCCAGCCGTGCCCTATCTCAGGATAGGCAAGAGTGGTAGCTATCTTGCTGCTGTTTACATTTCACACACCAGGTACCCGTCCCTGCAGACCTGCGTGCCTCCCCTTCAAAACAACCTAACCCAGCCTCTCCTGACACCATTTCCTCTGTCATCAGGGCCTCATGCCTCACTTCATCCATCTGCTTCATGAACACTCTCCTTCACAATTCATCTGCTGATGTCTCCCCCACAATACAAACAGTTCTCTCCACACACCAAGATTTCCCCCAGACTGCCTACTTCAAGTTTGTACCCACTTTCAATACTTTGTGCAAAAACTCTGTAGCTACTTGTGTGTGTTCGATCCACTCTGTAACTCAGGAACATCCAACTTGGACCTCTAGCACTGTGTGGATACTGCCCTTTCTGACGGGACATCCCCCTGCCTCCAGGGTGCTGCAATGACCCTCGTCACAACTATCCACACACTGCAGGCCTTGTGCCCGGACCTTATTGTCCCACTGCCCACCTGTGTCTGCAAAGGTTTGTCCTCTTGCCCTAAGGGTTCTCACCATTGCATTGCTTTAAATATCATTTATACTTATAGTGCTGGTCCATGTCTTTCCTAAGCTCCGCTTTTATTTCTTCAACTCTGCACCTGGCAACTCCATCTGGTTACTTTACAAACATGTCAAAGTGCACTTGTCTAAAATGTCCTTAACATCCCACTAGATCTTCTCTACATCATAGGCAGAACTAAGATTCACAAATGGCTATTTTTTTTCCTCACCTCTCATAGCCAATCACTTCTCCAAGTTAAAATAATTTGAAACAGAAACCCAAGCCAGGTGTGTTGGCCTTGAACTCATGGAGATCCTCCAGCCTCAGCCTCCCTAGTGCTGGGATTATAGGCATGCACCACTATGCCCAACAAAATAAGTCCATTTTTGGCTACAAACTATTAACAATTCCTGTTCTAGAAAAACACTTGAAGATATGGACAAGGCTCTAACTTGAATGTCCATTCCTGACTCCTACCGTTCCTACATCACCTGACCCAGCACCTTCCCACTGATTGATGACCAGAGTTTTTGCTCCTGCTTTGTCTTGAAGAGCTTCCCTGAACTTTCACCTTGGGTGGCTGGCAGATAGCAATTCTGGGGTCAAGATGTAGTCCCTGCAGTTCACTCATCTCCAAGGGTCATCCAGAGCACTTAGGGAGTGCAAAGAAGCTGTCAGCTCTGCCCTGAGGACAATCCAGGAGCTGCTAGATGATGCAAAGAAAACATGAGATTGATCAGAATCAATGAAAAAGCAGGTGATAACACAAACAACATTCAAAATGTATTCAAAGGTCAGGCATAGTGGTGCAAGTCCATAATCCCAGCACTCTGGAGGCTAAGGCAGTAGTATCACTCTAAAATCAATAAAAAGACAAGGAAGCCAGGTGTGGTGGTGCACGCATGTAATCCCAGCACTCAGAAGGCTGGGGCAGGAGGATCACTATGAGTTCCAGACCAGATTGGGCTACATAGTGAATTCCAGGGCAGTCTGAACTATATAGTGTACTATATAGTATCTCAAAAAATAAATGAATGAATAAATAAATAGACAAGGATGTCCATTGTCACTACTCTTGTTCAATATAGTTCTGGAAACATTAGCCAGAGCAACTAGACAAGAGAAAGAAATAAAATGAGGATATGAATGGAAGAAGTTAAATTATCATTATTTGAGGATGACATGATGGTCTATGTAGAAGACCCCAAAAATTCCACCAAAAGACTTCCAGATTTGATCACTAAATTCAGTAGCATAGCTGAATACAAAGTAACACTCAAAAATCAATAATAGCCTTCCTCTTCAGGAATAACAAACTCACTGAAAGGAAATTATGGAATTAACACCTTTCATAATAACATCAAAAAAAATGAAATACCTAGGAATCATTCTAAAGAAGGAAGTAAAAGACCTCTACATTTAAAACTACAGGGCTGGGAATTTATTTAGCTCAGTGGTGCTGCTGCCTGCCTCATAAGCCCAAGGTTCTGAGTTCAATCCCCAGTACCAAAAAAAAAAAAAAAAAAAAATCTACAATACTCTGAAAAAAGATTGAAGAGGATATCAAAAATGGAAAGATATCCCTTCTTCTTGGATAACAACCAATATAGTGAAAATGGTCACACTTTCAAAATTGTTATACAGATTTAATGCAATCCCAATGAAAATTCCAACAGCATATCTCACAGAATTAGAAAATACTAAAATTCATTTGGAAACAGAAGGGACCTAGAATAGCAAAGGCAATTCTGGGCAACAAAACCAAAGCAGAAAGCATCACAATCCCTTCTGTGAAATTATACTACAAAGTTACTGTGTTAAAAACAGCATGAGTATCAAGGGAACCGATAAGAAGATGCAGAAACAACTTAGATTGAGGGTCTTTAGATAGACTCTCTGTGGAGTATCTCTGACTGCCTTAAAACTACCAACCTCTTCAGCCATAAGTGAGCAGAACAGTCTTTGCCCCTTCATGGCATTTAGAGGTAGGTACTTTTTCATAGGGGGGAATATTATAAACAGGTAAATTAATTAGCTATCTAGTAGGCAGTTAAACAGGACTGCCCCTGGTTGAGTCAATATAAGGGGTAATCCAGACACATTCACTGAAGGTCAATATTATAAAAAGAGGGAAACTACTACCCGCATGTCCTTCTGCTAGGAATGAATAGCAGTGATTGGTGATTGATATTCTAAATAGGTATCAATCACCTGGGCAGGAGACTCAGAGTTTAACCAGTCCCTTCCAGGAAAGAGCCCTGACCCATCCCTTACCAAAAATGTGTTTGCTCCTCCTTTGCTTGTTACATGACTTGCTTCCCCATTTGACCCCCATTTAACCAATATTACCTAAGCAACTATACTTATAATCTACTTGTAATCTTTTTTTTTTTTTTTTTTTTTTGGTAGCAGAGATCCAACTCGGGCCCTTGCACTTGCAAGGCAGCCATGGAACCACTAAGCCAAATCCCCAGCCCTATACTTCTAATCTTATTGGTTGATCATAATTTTGTTCCACCTCATGCCCACCTTGTGATTTTCCATTGGATCATTATTACCACCTAAGCAACTGTACTTGTAATTTCACAGTTGACTATAGTTTTGTCCCACCTTGAACCTACCTCATCTTGTGGCTTTGTTCCATAAACTCCCTGGAAAACAGGGTCCTGGAGAACCCTGTTTTCCAGGTCCCCTTCTGTCTCTTAGACAGAAGTTACCTTTTTCTCAATCAATTTTCCTACTCTTAACCTTCACTGTTCTAAAATTCATTCTTCTATTTTTGAGAACACAAACTCAGTTTCAGATATCTAGCAGGTTTCGGAGTTATACCTATTTCCCCTACATCACCAAAAGTTCAAGACCAGTGTGGACTACATAGTGAGCTCAAGGCTAGCCCAAACTATACAGCAAGACCTTGTCTCAAAAAGTCTTAAAAAAAATAATAATTACAATACTTCCTTCAGAAAGGAAACAACTCCAACTATACATTAAATGTAAGTAAAGGGAGTGTGGCTAGATAATTTCACTTTTTCAAATTATCTTCACTGCCAGGCATGGTGGTGCACACCTGTAATCCCAGCACTTGAGAGGCTTAGGCAGGAGGATCTCTGCAAGTTCGAGACCAGCTTAGGTTACACAGTGAGTTCCAGAGCAGTCTGAACTACATAGTAAGATTCTGTCTCAAAAAAAAAAAAAAAAAAAAATCATCTTAACAATTTGAATTATTTTTACAATTTACATATAATCTAAAAACATAAGGGCCGGGGATTTAGCTGAGTGGTTCCGCCACCTGCCTTGCAAGCTCAAGGTCCCAAGTTTGATCCCCAATTCCAAAAAACAAATAAAAATTTAAGATAAGATTTTTTTTATTGTTTTATAAGAAAGATTTATAGGGTTCTCCTGGAGCCAATTTGTAAGACACCTACACAAAAGACATGATCAATAAAAAATAACTTCCACAGCTCTATTCATTATCCCTCCTAAAAGTTCTCTAAGTCCACCTTTTAGACAGGGAACAAGCCCTAGAAAATGTAAAGTTAAACATTTATCTTTCTGAAGGCTGTGGTTATCAGAAACCAAGATAAACAAGAGAAACTAAGCTCTCAAACTACTTTCCTCAAAGCCTGTCAAAAAATTTAATTTGAAAAGGAAAGCATTTGCATATGCTTCAGAGGCTAAAGATTTGAAGATAAAACTAGGCTTTAGGGGGTTGGTTATTTGGAAACCTCAGGGGTGTGTTTTGATTTTAACAATGTAAAAGTAAAAAAATGAGAATGCTCATCAGTGAAAAGTAACTGGTACTTTCATCTTCTGACTATCAATACAAATTCAGGAAAAAGAAAAGGTAACTTTTGCTTTCAGAGTTCACTGATAGGTGTTCTTAATGTAACCAATCTAGACGGTGACCTCATGTTTTAACTCTTTCATAGACAAATAAAGTAATTTAATAGGTGACCAATAGAAAGGGAAGTAAAACGAATTAACATGTGCTAATGTACATTACTAACCCCCCCCCGCAATGCACGGAATTATTATAGGCTGCAAACATGAACTGATACAAATCTAATTTTTTAAATTAACAATAAGTCAGATCTTAAAGCTGTCAAAAGTGGGGGGTGGCATCTTGCCTCCTTGGGGACCCCCAGTGGCACTAACTTACCAACGGGGGGCAGGTTTGTTCAGCCTCTTCTGTGAGTCTGTCCAAATATGAAACTGAACACTCCATTTTTCAAATCATGCCCTGAACCATTTAATGAATACAAGTATCCCTGAGCCTTTCTAGGGACATTGGCATTTCTAATGTTCTTGTTTTCCTTTAGAACATTTTCAAGCGCTTAAGCCTAGCCGCTGTGGTGGCACACCCGTGGCCTCTCAACACCAAGGAGGCTGAGGCAGGAGGATCGAGTTGGAGACCAACCTGGTCTATATAGTGAGTTAGTGCAACGCCAGCCTGAACCACATAAGGAGACCTTATCTCAAAAACTCTGGAAAAGGGGAAGCAGCCGGCAAACCGCAGGAGACCACAATGCAATGTATCACTGTGTAGTCTCCACAAAGCTGAGCTAAACGGGACATCAAGATCAGAGTGGCAAAGGCAGGCGGCTGGGGACGCCCTGTCCCTCCATAGCGGGATTGGGAGGGATCGAACTTCTCTGCGCCGAGCTCCGCTGCGCCTTCCGGCTAGGAGCACGCGCCTTACACACTTGGTTCCGGGAACAGACCACCCCCCAAGATGTGCCCCGCTGAGCGCCCTCGGGCGGAAATGAGTGGCGGTGACTCACCAGCCCCGGGCCAGCGGCCAGACCCCGGTCTCGCCGCCAAGCTCCCCGCCCCTCAGTCTCCCCGCACCTCCAACTCTGAGACCAGCACCCATCTCTTCTGTGGCCCCCTCCCTCAACGCGCGCACCTGTGAGCTCCGCAGGCCAGGCCGCGCACGCGCATCCGCTCCTACCGGTCAGAGC